AACCCACCCAAACCCCCCATGCCCGAAACACGACCCCGACCCTTACCACGCGTCGAGCCCGAATCCCCTTGTGCCACCTACACCCCTCACCAAGTGCCACCGACGCACCAGACCCCCGGCCCCTTCCCCCCCACATTCCCACATACCCCTCTGTAAACCCATGTTACCGCTCCCCAGACATTCCCGCACACCCCCCCAGACATGTTACCCCTCCCCAGACATTCCCGCATGGTTACCTCAATGAAGACAGTACAACAAACCGAAATACACAAACACAAAAGCCATAGTAAGAAAAAAACTGAACAATGAAAATATGAAGTAACCAAAGTAACTAAAAGAAGTGGAAGCATGGTAAAATACATGAAATCTCAGTGGATGCACGGAGTCACACAGTAGTGTCAATTTGAAAAAAAAAAAAAAAGTAAACAAGAGGAAATATAATAAAAGAAGAATAACTAAAAAATAAAACCAAAAAAACAAGAAGAAGAACGAAACATGTGAAACTCTAAATGAAGAAAGATACACACAAACATCATCGGCTCGAAATTGAAGTCGTAGTCTACGGCGCATCGCACTGTCCGTCGTTTGTGTCATCATCGTCGATGATGCGCTCTCGCCGCCTTTGCGGCACCTTCGCCGTCGTCTCCTCTCCCTCCCCTGGAAGCTGTGACGCAGACACGACATGACTGGCAACTGCTCTGGCTGCCACCCTCTCTRCCTCCTGGACCTCCGCCTCTCTCTCAACACCCCCTCCAGCAGAACATCCCAAAACGCCAGTCAGAGTCGTGTATGTCTTCCTACCCCTAGGCATGGGCACCCCATCCGTCGTTGAATCCTCCGTGCGGCCCCTAGCAGCTCGACAACTGCCCGGTCTTGTACCTGTCTGACGTCGCGGCTCCTCATCCAGTATCCTGTGTGCAGTAGAAATACAACCTCCACGGCTCGTCTGCAAAGTGACAAGATCAGGGTCATCCTCCACCAATGCTGGGGGTGGTCGGGCACCTGGCAAAGCACGTGTGGAAGGTCGCCCTTTCGGACGTCGATGACCATCTCGTTGTGCCGCACTTGCTGTGGGCGGTCGTGACGGCGGTGCAACCATCGTGCTGCCCCGTCGATCTGCAGCACACGACGACCCGACACCAGGATGCTCCAACCTGTCTCCCTTCTGTACCCAGCCTGCTGCGTCCGCAAACATCTCTGTCAACCTCCCCTCACGATCCCTCCTCTCATCCGTGACCCCAGGCATAGCATCCTTGAGTTTGCGGGTGACCTTGCTGATGCCGCTCCACGATACAGACTTCCCCTTCGCCTTTGATGAAGGTGATGGAGAACCCTGCACTTGCCCGCGCCCTCCTGCCGTCGCCGGCGCAGCAGAACCCTCTCCCCAACCAACACTCCCGCCCGAAAGGCCCCACCGTCCACCGACAACTGCGGGACCACCTCCCCCGCCCACAACACTGCCACCAGACTCACCTCCCCGTCCACTCACCGGCCCTGCACATGCTGGTCGTGTCCCTGCAGCAACTGGTCCTGCTCCCCATGATACCCCTCCCGGCTCGATAACCATCTGACATGTCAACTGCTCGAACAAGTCGGCCATCTCCATAGTCTTCCCAATATCCCCCGATACCCCCGAGGGTGCTGGCGGACTAACAGGCACGAAAGAAGATGGAGGCACAGCCTTCCAAAGCCTCTTCGATATATGCCTGCTCCTGCCCATCACTCGATCAATCCCAGCAGTGTGGCGCTCGAGTGGGGACATGCTGGGCACGTGTGCCTCTGCAGGGTGTGCAACAACGTCCCCGGGGTCCACCTGTCTCTCCTCCTCGTTGCGATGTGCAACCATAGCATCCACCGCGACAAGACCATCCTGAGTGTGATCCACTACGACCACATCCTCCATTGCGGCAACGGCAACGCCGACAAGTGCTCTATCCACCTGCCCCTCCACCTCCGTGCCATCGCACCCAAGCAACCCCCCTGTGTCTGTCGTGGCTGCGTTGTCGCCCCCGTCCGCCTCATCAGTAGTGGGTAGTACCGTGCCGTTGCCCCACGTAAACCACCCAACCCTACCCTCGCGTCCTCTTGGTGGTCATTTGCACGATCCACCACGTGTCCCTCTATGCAGAGTCCTCCACCATCTGCAACATCTGCAGGACCACCGTGTCTACAGTCTGCTGCTAGTCTGGCGGTAGTGACCTCCTCTACACTACACCCCATCTCCCTTGCCCTGGTTGTGTCCAGCTCCAACGCAAGCCGCTGTGTCGTGGCACACCCCGACACCATCCGTGCCAAACGCTCCTCCTCAAGCACGTCCTCGAGGTCCATATGTAGCCTCCTGGCAACATGACCGACGTCGTCACCAGTCCTGCCCTCCTGTATCTCGCCTGACGCTCTGGCAGCCTTTGTCAACAAACCTGAACTAGCACCACCAAAAACCGACCCTATGAGGTGTGCGACTTCGCTCACCGGTGTCTGAACACGCACCCCGCCGCGCCGAGCATCTGAAGTGGGTGGACGTCCAAGGTCGAAGCCATCACTGAAAATGCCTGAGGGAATTGATCCCTGCGGTACCTCCAAACCAAATCCATGTCCGCCGCTACCACCCCCGCCCGCTGCACTGCGGCCAGGAGTAACAAGGAAGGCGCCACCCGCTCCGTCCTCAATCGGCCCACTGCCGTCACCGCCGTCGAATCCATGCTCGTCCCCATGTCCTCTGACCCGGTTGGGTCCCTCTCTCTCGACGTCGGAGTCCTCGTCATCGGCGGCATCTCCGTCGTCAGACCTGTCACCTCCCTCGTCCTCGCTCGATGATCGCACAACCTATGTTTGCTTGCGCCCTCTATCCGTCGCACTCCTAGTCAAGGGAGGGGTCATGCGATCAACATCACAATGGCTCTGCCGATCTCGCGAACGCATATCACTGGCAGCCTCATGATCACTCTCTCCGTCGGACTCGTCACCAACATCAGGCGTGTCACTGCCTCTCTTCTCCAAGTCCTTCGGGTCCGTCAAGGGCTCTTCCTCCATCTCGTCTGCAGCATGCGGGTCCGTGGGTGGATCGTACTCGATCTCCTCGTGGTACAGCTCGATATGAGCTGCACGACGACCAAACACAGTCTGAACCGCAGGGGGTGGCGAACCGTCGAGGCACGCTGCATCCTGTGCGCCTGGTGCGCGATCTCCTCCTCCGTCAATGACCCCGGCGGCAGAGTGCCTGATCTGCACGGCTCCGGGACGTCGTCCAACCCCTCCTCAAGATCACCCCATGAGAGAACAAGTCCCCTCCTCCTCTGTCTACACGCCAGGAGCTTCTTGTTCGCGCACATCTCCACCATTTCAGTCAGCTTTGTGAAGTCCAACCCGTTGCGGCGCTTCTCGTGGATACGCTCGTGCAACGCCCAGTTCCTCTCTGCAGGAGAGGCGCAGACCCACGTGTACATAAGACGTGTGGCGATGGCACACAGCTCAAGGGCACAGCTGCCGTGCAGAACCCACCAATCAGCAATGGCTTGTGTCTCATCCGGCCCCTCGCACGTGTCCTCGTCTCCAGTGCCTGCATCTCCACCCCAATCATACCTCGGCCCGCGCGCGTGGAAGTCGTACAACTGCTGACGGACCAACCTGTACATGTCTCCCTGTCGGTCGAAGCCCGTCTGCGTGTAGATGTACTCAAGTGTCATCTCCGCCACCTTCTTCTGCTGATCGGTGCGCCTCGGAGACTGGAAGTAAACGAAGTTCCGCCTCTTGGGATTGAGAAGATGGGCGGCAGCATGGGCGGGCTCGAGCAGATGGCATGCACGAGCGTAACAATCCTGCAGCATGCCAACCAGGCGAGGTCTCGTCGACTCCAACTTCCGAATCTCCTCGGCCAACTGGGTCACCCACCGAAAGATGCAAGAGATCACCAAACCCCCCTGGTCCAACATCCTCAACAACTGCACGACCGGGGTGAAGACGTCGATGAGATCATCCATCTCCTCCCAAAACAGCCCGCATCGCACCTGCGTGCGCACCCACCCGGCCTTCCCGAGCAACCTCCTCTCCCATGGAAGTCGCGCCCAATCCCCTTCCAACATCATCGTCTCAAGTGGAACCCTGTGGTCGTGCAACCTCTCCATCATGATGTACATAGACGCGAATCGCGTCTGGCAGGGGTTCAACAACTCTCGGCCGCGTCGTGGTCTGCCCACTATCCCCTCTCCGCCCGCGGCGCTGCCACCCAAACGGTCCGCACGTGCATCGCGATCGGCCCTCGCGCTGTAACTCCTGAACAATGTGAGAGCCGATCCGTGACATCTAATGAATCGGACAACCGCCCTCGCCCTAGTCAACAACTCGATGGCCCATGTTTTATCCTTGACCATGTCTGACAACATCAAGTTGCAGCAATGGACAGAACAAGGGAGCCAAGGGATGTGACGGATATCTGGATCCGGATCGTTGCAAAGCGCTCGACCGGCGGCGACATAAACTGATGCAGAGTTCGTGCAGATGGCGTTGATGTTCTTCACGCCGAACTTCTCGAACACCTTCTTCCAGCGCTGCAAGACGACGTCTGACATCTCTGCGTCAACCCCTTCCCTGCGCACCGTCGTGAAAAGGAAGGCGCCCGACTGTCCTGCTGCTAGGAAGTTCATGATGGGCTCAGAGTTCAGGGACTTCCTCCCATCCGTGAGGATGGTAGCCCCTGTGTGCTGCATCTGCTCGCGTATGTCACATAGTTTATTAGCTATGTACGCACGCTCCTCCTGTATGCCACTGCCTGCTATGCGCTTGAACTGGGGCAAAGTGGGCTTCATGCCCCGGGGCATGTTCTGCAAATGTCTCGTGAGGGCCCTGTACTCGGGCATCCTCGCCCTCTCAAATGGGACACCGCCAATATACCACCACTGCAAGAAGAGATGGTCGAAGGTGGTCTGCCACTCCAGGTCGTACATCTCATCCAGCCTAACCTGCTTCAAACGTTTCGGGTCCGGCATGCGTGCCGCAGGAGCGGTGTCCGCCCTCTTCTTCCCACAGCCATCCATAGGCGCACGAGTCCTTGTCTGATGAGCAGTGCGTCCTGCCTTCAATGATCCCCCCTGAAGGGACGCTCCTAACTCCTTAACATCGTCCTCACCGTCCTCCTCCATCAGTCCCTCGCCCCCACCCTCCGCCCCTGTGTCCATCTCATCGTCCTCACCGCCACACTGTCCTCCCTCGCTGTCCGCCCCCAACCTGTCCAAAACATCCTGCACCTCGTCATCCTCCGACACTCCAACTCCCACCTCTCAGTTATTCCGGATGCCACGATACTCCATGTAATCCTGCACCTGTCTCTCTCGCCGCTGGTCGAAAGGGTACTGTGTGGTATTCCAAACGTCAACGAGGACCTCTGGTGTCACCTTGAGGCACCTACCCTTCGTGAAGTGCTCAGCACCCCGCTCCTGACTGCCCTGGAAACTTAAGGTGGTTTGTCGCAGAAGCGGCACTTCATCTTAAAGTTGCCCTTGCAACTCTCCAGCGTCTGACCCTTCATCGAGTACTTGAATATGCAGCAGCGGCGAATAGCCTCGCGATGGTTGTCGTCCTTGACCGGCACAAAGGCCTCCTTGGCGCCCTCCCCCTCCCCCTTTTTCCTTTTCCCTGCCCTCCCCCCCCCCTTTTTTTTTTTCCCTTTCATATCCAACCCCCCCCCCCCCCCTCTGAATTGTTTCCCGATGGGACGCCGGTTGCCTGGGGGGCCCAAAACCGTCGAGGGATTGTGAACGGCACAGAGAGAGAACCCGCGCCCGGAGCCGTCGAGGGGCCGCTACCCCAACGTTAACACCGGCCGTTCACAATTCCGTTCACCGGCGTGAACGGATGTGAACAGCCTGAGGACTTCGTTCACGCGCGTGAACGGGCGTGAAAGGCGATGTGACCGGCGCATTCTCTCTCTCTCTCTCTCTCTCTCTCTCTCTCTCTCTCTCTCTCTCTCTCTCTCTCTCTCTCTCTCTCTCTCTCTCTCTCTC